TTCTCCGGCCTCCGGGTTCTGTGACAGGGTGGCCAAGAACGGCAGCTTCTGCAGCGGCAGGTGAGGCGCGCAGACGGCGGCGGCCGTCAGCCGGCCGGCGATGCAGGGCGGCGGGCCGTGGCCGCCGCCACCCGCTCCACCGCTTTCAGCCAGCCCGTCTCGGCCATCTCGATCACCCGGTCGGCTTCCACCAGGTAGCGCAGGTGCGCTAGCGAGAAGCCCTCGGCGCTGGTTATGTGATCCATCAGCCAGCCGGGAGTGCTCACCACGATCAGCCAGGGAGACCGGGCCGCGCGGCCCCACCGCCACCAGTTGGCGCCCCCTCGTGCCACTGTGTCTCCACCAAGCAGCCGGACGCAGAGCGGCGTGTCGGCGTCGCACTGGCGGAACACGGCGGGCACCTGAGCGGGCAGCGCCTGTGTGGGTAGCACAGTTAGCGCGCGCACCCGGCGGCCGGCGCCGCGCCTGCACCAGCGGCAGCACAAACGCCAGCGTCGTACCGCGGCCGGCCGGCGCCGAGATGCAGAGGTCGGCCGGTGGCAGCGGCGACTCTGCGGCCGCCAGCAGCTCGGGCAGCACGGTCACATGCACCAGGAACACCTGTTCGATGCCCTCGGCGGCCATCCGGGCGCGCATCTCGGCCTCGGGGCAGAGCGCCGGCAGATTGGCCGGCGCCGGCCGCCGGTCGCCAATCGGCTGCGGGTGCGCCAGCCAGTCGGGCAGCGCACGCGGTGCACGGCCTGTCGGCTCGAGCGCTCCACCTCGTCCAGCACGGTGAAATCGTCAGCGGCGGCGTCTCCGTCCGACTCGGAGGTGTCCTCGCTGTCGTTATTGGCGACGGCGGCTGCCGCTGTGCGCTCAGTCAGGTCGGCCATCACAGCAACACTCGCCGATGATTAGCGTCATCGAAACCGTCGGACGACGGTGGATTCACCACCGTTTTTGCAGCAGAGACTGGAAAAACCTCAGCAATAAACAAGGAAAAACCTCACAACATGCCACAGCCTGCAATTGTGCATATTGTCATTATATTTCTCACATGACATGACAGAAAATATTTGTTGCTTTATTCTAGGAACTGGCATGAAAAACATAAGCTAAATCAAGCTAAGTGAATTATTATTGTATTTCAACATGAGACTGGGAAAAAAAATCCTTGTCACTGTCAGCATGAGCAGTGTAACGGACGGGCTGCGTGAACATTTCGGCGCATGATCTGAAAACTCTGTGTGCAGAAATTTCAGCGCTGAGGTGAACAAATAACATTTTGGCCGCAATTTGCCTGGTGCCTCCACAATTTTCCAAAACTAGGTAACTCACAATACTTACAGCCAGTTTTAACATGATCCCTGCATGACTCAAGCATGCAAGATACACATGCATTCAATATCAGCACAGTGCACACACAACAGTTATGGATTCATTTACATTTTACAACATTACTATTATTTTCTTTTCCTTCAATATTGGCAGCATGACTTGCTGAGTTCAGTGGCACAAGCCACAATCTTATGACCAAGTTTGTTCGGGTTCGCAACCATGCAAACTTTGCACGTTTTGCTTCAAAAACAAGCCTTTATACATTTCTTTCATGCTATTCAATTTCTTTTTAAAAATTTATTGTCATTTATCTTGAAAATCTTGCCATTTCAGTCTTAGCAATGCAGTGGCGCGGGAACTTCTTCCAGACTGGGGGGGCTGAACCATAATAGAAATCAACCTAGGGTACCCCCAAATCTAGTTTTCTCACCGGTTTTAGGCCACTTATTTTTCAGACCTTGGCCTTTTTCAACAACAACAAAAAAAAACGAAAATATTTTCAAAAAGTGAGGTATTCCGTCTCAGCTGAGTGAAGAAACTACCGTTTTGGCAGCCTGGAGTAAAGGTTTTAATCTGCCAAATGAGTTGCCGAGCCAGTGAAATAGGTGGATTTTTCACTTACATGCTTTCTTCCTTTGTGACCCACAACCCCTAATTTGGGGAGGACAAGCTGCCCAACTTTTTTTTTTTTTATAAATTTAGCTCGAATGTTTGAATGGACGGATTGACAGAGCCGAAGCCCACGCTAAGCAGAGCTTGTTGCGTAGACCCCGACCCCTACCGTCCGATCGCGCAATTCCGGGTAACGGGAGAATTTAGATGCCAAAGTTTAACGTGCCCTTCAAAGCCGGACACGGCCTGTCCCACTCAACTGACTTCAACTGGCTGCGGCTGCTCCCACCAACCGCAGACCATCCCCGTCAGGAGTCTCAAATATCGAGCGCCGGAGCGTCTCGAACCCGGGCTCTCACTACCGGGAGTCCAATGCTCTACCAACTGAGCTACGGGACAGGCAACGGTTCCTGGCCTCATGAAACGTTGTGGGGCACCGCCCCCACGGCCGCAGAGTTGTGGGGGTAAGCTTCCCCCACTGCCCCCTCCCCCGGTTCCCACGCCTATGTATGAATCTATGAAATTATGTTGGTAGATTTCCGATTTCGATTCTTCCAGCTGGGGGGGCTCAAATACATTACGAGCCCCCCCAGCCAAAAAGCTGGGGGGGGGCTCAGCCCCCCCTAGCCCCCCCGGTTCCCGCGCCACTGTAGCAATGTCAATGCACCTTCCCTATTCCGCACAGCTCAAGTAAGTTCCACCCAAAAGTAGTAGTGGTATCAGTAGCTGGCGCATTGCCATGTAAAATATAGCTGAATATGTGAAAACAGTGACATATTTATTTAAAATCTTGAGTCCAATGAGCCTACCCTCTCTGCCTCTCCTTCCAGCATTTCTTCAAGCACCTTCAATTTTCGAAAATGACCTTCCATCATTATTTTCCACTTCCGTGCGAGCAATGAACTTGTAAGCTGACCACTAGTTAATGCGCTATCATCTTGCTGTTTGGTGCTTGTAGCAAAAAGATAATATAAACAAAAAAACTAACACCACAACACCAAACACCAGTCTTGTTGGTTCCTTTTGGTCCTGCCTGGTGACAAAGGCTCTTTCTTTACGCAATATCATCAGTATTCCTCTTCTAATCTTGAAGCCCAGATGCTTTACAAATTGGCCATGAATGATACTAAACTATTATATCAACTGAGAAGCGCAAATCACGATAATTAGTAACAAATGAGGCCAATTGTTCCAACACGACATCAAAAAAATAGACGGGGTCCCCCGTCTATTTTTTGGGCTGTTTTTCTACAAATAATGGCGCAAAATAACACTCCATTAATGCCGCATTTGCCGTTGGTGAAACTCATTGGCTATTTTTCTGGCTGATATTTTTTCACGCCGGCGGATATTTTTTCGCCTGGTTGGTGAAACTCGTCGGCTGGTTTTTGACAGAAAAATTGCGCCGGGCTGCTATTTTTCTGTTGGTAAAACTGGCCTCTGATCTGAATTCCGCCCGCCGAACGGTGATCTCTCCGCCTTTGTGAATCGCCGATCGGCCCACCGTATTCAGCCAGCAGCCGACTGGGAGAGTTAACAGCTTGATCCGGGATCTTCCACCACTATCCGGGATTTCTGGGCGCTCTGATCGGGTCTCGCGGCAGGGTATCGAACTGGCAGCGACCCGCACTCTCCCCTCCCCTCCTACACCCCTCCCTCTCGCCCCGGGCTGCAGAGTGACCCCGCACCCGCCTGAGCACTTGAGCCGCACACTTAGCCTGAGAGCACGGCGGCGATTCAGAGGGCGGTGACCAGCCCGGTGATGGACAGACTGGGTGGGGTCCGAGACTCCCTCGGACCCCACCGCTCCGTGAACAAATACGGTAGGGTGGTGGACTAGGATGAGAGGCTACCGGCAGAGATTACGGCAGCACACAGTGGACGGTTCTGCGATAATTACTGGGCAAAGCCTAAGCGCTATGATGCGCGGAATGACACGCGTTTGCGTATACCGTGACGCTAGTCGATCTGTGATGGGACTATATCCTGTTCTGCGGCGGGGCTTTACCCAGTTCTGCGGTGGAACAATCCCCTGTTCCGCGACATCTCGGCCGCAGCTGATCGAGTGCCCTGGGACGTGGTCTCCGCAGGATTGAGTTAGCGGACAGAGTGGAGTCGGGTGGAAACTGATGGCACGCCAGCGCCGAGCCTGGTGGGAGTAATATTGGTTTCCGGATACCTCGGTTAGATGGAGATATATGACCTTCATGCAGCTGGTGTATCAAGTAGAAGTATAGTCTGACAAACCCGAACTGGGAGGGGCTGCGAACTTAACCAACTTAAAAGTATTATCGCGACGAAACTGTTGAAGGTTCATGTGAACAAAGGAATGAAACACTGAATCTTTATGCAGTTTGGTGGTGGCGATGCAGTAGCTGAACACGAGTTCGGGAGTTTAAGACGCCAGAATGGCGTGATGTAAACATACAAATCGGATCATGATAGGATGATCCTAATTATATGTGACGTTGGCCCGATGCAGTTGTGGCATTGTTGCAAAACCGTTTGTTGGCTATTTTCTGAGGACGTTAATGGCAAAATATCATTCCATTAGCAGCGTTCCCAGGTATCTTCCGAGAATCGGCCCATCATTCTGGACATGATCGACGTGTGACCTTCCGACCTCTGACGAGCCACGGTCCGAGCACCTCTTTCCGGCACGGATATAAGCTAATCATTGTCGTGTATCCGGGATGATTACCGTATATCCCCACCACATCCCAACCCGCGGTCAGAAATGCCCCGTAATACCACCAGAGTCATCAGAGGGTCAGTCAGCAGAGGTAGGTCAGCGACCTCCCCATCACTGCCGGGGGCCGCGCGGTCAGCGTTGGAAGTTCGATCGGTGGGAGATTTGTGGATCTTCCGAGACGCGAGAACTTGGACAGGTTTCTGCTGACGTCAGGCCGGCGTAGCCAACACGTGGGTAAGCCAATAGCTGACCGTAGTATAAAAAAAAACTACTAGTCGCTGCGAGAAAAAGATGGCGGTTTGGTGGGAATGAATATGTCTTTCAGGGGCTCGGTCAAGAGAATCAGTGGCCTGAAACTGCCGTCCCATTTCCTCACCTGAACATTGTCCTCGCATATTTGCAGTTCTCCAGTGTAGGCGAAGTCTACCAGCAGCTGAATGGCATGAGCGTCGATGTCGTGAAGGGTGATCTGACACTGGCGCTTCTCCGCCAGGTCATCTGAAAAGGTCAGGTTAGGTCACGTTAGCTGGAGGAGGACGCCTTAGTCAACACAGAGCATGGCGCAGTCTAGGTAACATTTGTGACATGATTTCGCGTAGTAAAAATAAATAGTTATAAATGCCTAGGTATAGGTAATTATTTCACTACTCAAGCACGTAGCATTTGCACTTTTGTGCTATAGTAACTGTAAATATGTGTATGACCATTGCTTTCTACGGATTGTTACAACAGTTAGCAAGAGATGCAGATAACTTCATATCATAGACGTCCTTCTCATCCTCCTCCTGTGCCTTCCGTGTTCGTTGATATCCCGGCTGAGCTCGTACATCATTGTCATTTCCGTCTTCATGGCATCTTCGATTATCTAGCGATTCATTACCTCCCGCTATCGATGGATGACGGGGCTCTCCCCTGCACCACGATATGGCGCGTCCCTACTATCAGGAGTAATTAATTCCTCAGTGTCTGGGATACAATCAAACGATATAGCCAAGGCAATCAATTTTTTGTTTTAGGACTGAGATGTGACCATTGTTACATCAGCAATTTTTCACGGAATTCTGGTAAATACCGTCAAAACAATTCAAAGTTATAAAAGATAAGTTATAAAGATAAGATATAGATATATTTAAATATAAGTTATAAAGATAGAAGTTATAAAGATAGAAGTTATAAAGATACTCGTAGAAGTTAAAGATAAGTTATAAAGATAAAGATACAAATATTTTTTATATTTGTATCGTGAATTTCATAAGGTACTCTCAATACAATTCAAAGTTAGTTATCTAGATGCTACCGCAAAGCTGTTTTCAGATTAATATTGCAATGCACTAACTTCCATCTCAAGTTTCCACCACAACAGTCCCAAACGGGAATACCTACTCCTAGGACGTGGGGCGGAGGGAGGGGACAGGGGCGGGGCCTCCCGACGTCGGTGGCACAGCTTGTAGCCAGAGGGGAACGGGGTGGGATGGGGAGGGGTGGGGTGGGCACGCGGGTCTCCGAACAAAGGCCAGTTCCGAGCGGCTCGGCCTCGCTGGCGCGCTACTGCGTTGACCGACGAGTTACGCACGCGTCTACTCGGCCATCCTACCCCAACCGGTCGCGATGGACCGAATCGAAATGTTCGTCGAGACCGACGCGACATAGCCGACGGAGCCGACGGGACGGTCGGACGGGAGCTGTTATGGGTGGTCACAGAGACTGAGCAGGAAGTCACAGACGTCAGCGGTGATGGCTAGAGTGACGGTATGCGACTGTACTGAAAGGCAACGCGGAAATGGAGAGGGTGAAGAGAGGGAGAGAGAGAGAGAGAGAGAGAGAGAGAGAGAGAGAGAGAGAGAGAGAGAGAGAGAGGGAGAGAGAGAGAGAGGGGCTTAGCGATGCGACAGAGGGACGAAGAAGGGTTAAATCGCATACGGAAGAGGAGCGGTGGGGAGCGGAGCTGACAGGGGAGTTGCGATTGCCTTCCACCGGCTGTGCGCGAGCCACAGCTGCGGCCAACGGCCCAGCAGGGTGCCGGCTGGTCGTTTGTCGTGTCGGAAGGCTGAATAGCGCTTTGTGATGGCCCATAATACACAAGGCCGCTCGGACAGCGAGTGGAGTACGGCGTACGAGTGATGGCGACACGGAGACAAATGATCTCGGCGGCGGGGTACAAACCGCGTTCTGGCTGCTGGTAGCGTACGAACGGGACCGTGTCTCCTGGTGGTAGCGTACAAACGGGACCGTGTCTCCCGGCAGCAGCGTACGAGTCATGCGTTATGTATGCTCTGCCATTTTAGTGGCTGAAGTAAAATGACGGTCCACCACGCTGGAGATCTAGGAAATTGAGGGCGACATGCCGAGTGACGGTGGTGTCAAAATTTTATGACATTTCGCACGCGCGGTTGTCATCACTAATCTAGTTAATAGCGTGAGCGCTGCGTCCATGGTTCAGCCTGAAGTTATTTCTTTTTATCTGTCTGTAATCAAGCACCACAAAAACTGTTCGGTAGCTGTCAGCAGAAATTCGATTGTTAGCTTGACCTGACAAATTACTCTGAGCCCATAACGACAAAAACTGGGAGGAACTATCTAATACTGTGAGACAGGAGCTGAATGTTATGCTGTCCCGGGGCTAAACATCTGTGAGATAGGTTCTCATGAGAAACATTTGTGTACACTGTAGATTACGACAGCGCCTCGTGTCAACAGATGAGTTCCCAACGAAGCGAGCATGCATACATAATATTCATGCATGCATACATGTCATCTACAAGTTAGCATACTTCCTATTGCACATGTCATCCGAAGCACAATTATGAAGAAAAAATGTCAATAGGGACCTGACTAAGATTTTGGAATTCGATGCATTAATTAAAGTTTCTTATTCGGAAAGGCAACGTGATTGTGACATACCACTTAGCCACGTTAGCAGTGATGGTTACTAAATAGGCGATGGTTACTGAATTAACTTCATATCTTTTCTTCCATTGTCACCCATAAACAACACGTCATCTCCTCGGCGACAGCCTATTTAGATACGCGTGCCATTAAACAGCTGCAAAGTGGGCCGTGGCGAGTATCAACACATCGTCGCATTATCGTCTATTTGTCGGCACGCACCCTCATCCTCCATCTCTGCGTGACACATATCCGACATTATCTGTCGGCACTCCGCCGTCCACGGCAGAGGACGGGAAGACGCCGGCCGGGCTGGACCGTCCTCCGCGGCTGGGCCCAGCTCCTTTGTCCGACAGCTCCGACTCCAGCGCCGGGTGGGGAGTCGCGCCAGCAGCTCCGGCGGACCGGACGTACCCCACGTGGGTGCCGAGAGCTGGCCGACGCCCAACTACGTCAGAAGACGCGCGCGGGAACGGCGCGGGAACGGCGGCCGGCCGTGCTCGGTCACAGGAGAGTAGGACGGGGCGCCACAGGACACCGGCGGCCGGCCCGTGCTAATGGCACCGCGGCGCCGCGCTGGACGGCCTCTCGACCGGTCCAGATAGATCGGGGATCGATCCAAGGTTCGCCGGACCGACCCGGATCACCGGCCGACCGCCACGGCCGGGTCGTGATTAAGAGCGTATATTGACGGCCGGCTGATACTCAGATGGGTCTTTGTTCCGGGAACCCGATGGGCTGCCATCTCCGGAGACTTCTAGGGGATACAATAATCATCCACTTGTCATTCTGTTGCAAAGTCTACTATCTCACGGCTATATATAGGCCATAGCCACCGGTGCCGGTCACACCAACGCCACCAATACCACCACCGCCGTCGATGCCGCCACCATTGAGCGTGGCTCCCCGACCACGGCAGGATGATGACGCCGAGCGAGGGACGGCCCGGCGACAGCGGACTGCTTCCGGTCCACTTCCGGCCCGCGGCGGTCGCGGCATTCATGAGCTGTCGGCGCGTGCGGCGGTGGGAAAGGGACCGCCACCGATGCGTCAGTCACCGCCGAGCTGGCGTACTATGATGTCACAGCTGCCCGACAACAGCGTGCTGAGCAGATGCGGGTGATAATGGCGGCTCTGGGACATTGCAGAAGAAAAAGTATACGCGTTTCTGCAGAAACATTTTTTGTATATTTCTGCGCACGAGTTTTATTGAAATTAAGAATGAACCAGCACCGAATGCTGATGCCAACGATAAGCTTAAACTTCCCCAACTAGTGAAGTTGACCACTGGATGGAACTAAATAAATCTCCCGAAAGCCAAATCGCACCCAACTTTATGTCCCGTCTGCGAGTTCTAGCCGGCAGCTGACGACCCAGCGCCCGAGTATTGGTCGTCGTCAGGCGCTTCCAAGACCCGGCAGAGACGGCCGACCTGAGCCTACCAGAGGCTGTGACTCACGAGGTGGCCCGAAGTGCACTCAAAGCCGCTTGGGAGCTCCGAGCCCGAGCTGAGGTGCTTCCAGGGCCGACAGCCAGATATCTTGTTCCATTTAATACGCAGTATATAACCACCTGCGTAGTTTGGGGCTCGAGTCAGGGATGGAAAATACATTGAGGATATACGAGGGACGTTCAAAAAGTTCTCGGCCCGACCATGAAGGAGCAGAGATACGACGTCGACTTATTAGACCAAAAATGTTCATTTAGTCAAATAACCAGCGTTAAGACAAAAATATTTCGCGCAGCGCTTCGCGAGAGACCCCTAGGTCTCCATAGCCAAGTGGGTTTTGGACGCATCTGGCACGTCCAAGACGGCTGCTTTTGTCTCCTTGCTGTCAGCGAAGTTGCCACTGCTAAGCAATTTCCTTATGTTGGGGAAGAGGTGGCAACCTGAGGGTGCAAGGTACGGAGAAAAAAGTGGCTGTGACAACAACTCGAAGCCACAGCTCACTGCTTCGCTGATCGTCACCCTGCTCATGTGTGCTGGTGCGTGGTCCTGGATCAGGCGCACACTTTTAGTCAGCTTCCCTAGTCTGTCCTTGATAGCTGCTGCTCGTTACTGTTATCGAAGGGAGGTGTAGCATTCATCATTAATTGTGCGCCCCTGTTTTAGAAAGTTGACGAGCAGAGCCCCGCCAGCATCCCAAAATGCAACCACTGTCACCTTGCCGTCTGACTTAAACACGTCGCACACATTTGATGGCCTTTACTCAGTGTGCTTCCACTTGTGCAACTCGGTCACGCCCTTAGGGTCAACGTGTGACACCCACAATCCCTCCACGGTAACAAGTACCTAGTTCAATGAACTCTTTTCGATCTTTGATATAGGGGCCAAAATTTTCGCGTTACGCCTCCTTTCGAGTTTGCCTTTCCTCTGGAGTCAGCAAACGGGGGATGCATCTTGCAGAGATCTTAAACATATTAATACGCTGTCGAAGAATGGCTTTGAGGAACCTGATAGACACCTCTGCTTCTGCTGCGTTGTTCCAGACCAGAACATTTGTCATTTTTCACAAAGAAGTGCTTATTTTTCATATTTTCTTGAGTCAATGCTGTTGATGGCTGGCCACTGCGGGGTGACCATTAATGATCTGTTGACCAAAATTGAACAGAGATGCCCACTTTTTGACGCTACTGTAAGAAAGACAAACCTCAACATGTGTTGGCACTAGCTTTTCGTGAATAACGTTTGGCGCATTTTTCTGCAATACATGAACCAAATCACCATGTTCTCTTCTGGGTGTCGTCCATTCTGACCGGGAATGGCAAACTATGTTACGATTAATTAGCAGCCTGAACCAATCACAGGGCAGATTGGTTAATGGCTATGTAAGTGGACATCCCAATAACACATCATTGAACACACCGCGTTGCAGGCCGAAATTCCAACTCCTTCATGGTTGGGCCGGGAACTTTTTGAACGCCCCTCGTATCCTGAGTTAGCTGAAAATATATAATGAAATTACTCTCATCTTGTTAGTTACTGCACTGCACGCAGTCCATTCCAAAGTCCATTCCATCCGCGCGTAACATGCAGCGCTGCTCTGGAGACGCTGGTAGGTATACTGTGCCGCACTACATAAGCGCTCGGCGGGCCAGCCTACCACTGCAGGCACGTCTTGCGGGCCGGGCTGGAAGGAGCTGGCAAGAGGAATAGTGAAGAAAAACGGATGTGTGTGGAGGAATGGAGAGGGCTTGTGAGTGTTTTTAAGATATCATTTGATGCAAGGTTTTGGAGTTTTGTGATAGTCGTTATTGTAGGAGCTTGCGCTTTCCAGTGCTAACTTATTATGTGACTTAGCGCAGCGAAATCCGTCGATTTATATTTCTTTAAAACGGTATATTTTCCGACAGTAAACGATCTCGCAGGAACAAGATATGAACTTCTTCAAACAAACGTAACAGTGTATCAAGCAATAATATATAAAACTCAACACAATTGCTCTTATCCAGAGCCAACGATGACCAGATAATTTTTCGACCTCCCATGTGTCCTCTCTGCAAGACGTTTGGCACCCACTCGTCCCATACGGTCAGCGGTTCATCAGTCCCATCCCAGGGCTCTCTGACAATGGTCGCTACAGCAGGGTGTCCGCAGCAGTGACCATTAACCGCAGAGTAACGCCCCAGGGCAGCGGGCCGTGAGTCATTTCCTCGTTGACGGCCTTTCTGACCAGAGTGTTCTTGTCCCGCTTGACCACAGCAATAAGCGGAAGAGATTCCGGGAGTTCTTCCCGCTGTCAGCGACTCCGTTTGATTGCCAAAGCCGCGGAAGATATGGTGGTGATGTGTGGCTTTGGGTGTGACTGGGGTGTCGCTGGCCGGCCGCCCCGTCACCCCTCTCCCTCCCCCGCTCCTCCACAATAAGTGTGGACATTAGTTGGCGCGGCGCCGACGGCGACACCGCGCCGGCCCCGTCGATATTGACATTGTTTTTGTCACCAAGCTGAGCGGCTGGCTAGCCGGAGGACGGCGGTGGGGTTACTGACCTGAAGCCCATCGCCGCGCCGACCGTCGCCGACTCTCCGCCCCCTCCCTCTCCCCCTCCCTCCACAACAGCTCGGCCGTCCATCTTGCGTGAACGACTCTGATTCAACAGCTGGAGGCGGTCGTCGGTTTCTTTGTCTTGAACGTCTCGCATTGGATTAGACCGGCCCGCCGCGGTTCGTCCTTCCAGTCATTAATTTCCGTGGGCAAGCGGTCGACGTTAGGAAGTTGGTTTACGGTTGCGTACGGATATATGGATGGCGTACTGACTACATGCAGAGGAATTTACACGAGTCGAAGTTGTACCTGTGGTTGTTTGGTTGCACAATGCACACAAAAAAGTTGGATTGATGTTTGCTGGCGCATGTCTGTGATCGATGTGATACACTTTGCTGATGTGATAGCGCATGTCTGTGCTGCTATTTATCTACTTAAGGCCAAATAAAAGTTATTAGCAGAATTATTTGCATAGTTATGGTGGCGTGACTAATCGCGTAAGCTACAGTATGCTTGGATAAAAAAGCGACGCTGATTTTCCATAAGACGCTCGCTGACGCAGACCAGCCGAGCGAGACAAATTCATCCGGAAACGAACAGAAAGCGAGAGGAATGGAGGAACGATGTGACCTGGATGCTCAGCCGAGCGACGGAAAGGCGAAAACAAAAACAAGGTTTGGACGGGGAACTGACGACGTCATGTCACGTGACACTTAAAAACGGCACGTGCCAACAACAGCTATAATATGTGGCGAGGTAAAAATGAAGCGTGCGTGCGACGCTTTAGTTCTTACTTGTGAACATGGCGCTGAAATAGGGACTGCAGGCCGCCAGAACGATTCGGTGCGCGTTGATCTTCAGGTCGCCGACAACAAACTCCACGTCGCACAGCTGAAAGTGAAAAGTGTCTGTAAATTTCTTACATTACTCGTGCATAGTTGATAGTGTACGTATGGGTTGTTAACTGTTTTCATAGTGAATGAAATGAGTGAATTTCATGTCATGCAGTTGCATATTTTAATCATCCGATAACAAAATATTGGTGGAATAATTCCATGGTGGAATTACTCCGGATAACAAAATATTGCCATTATATAAGTGGCAACATCAGCATTTATGCTCCGTCCTCTTTTTCATGATGTGGTGCATCAATAAGAAAGTAGGAAACCTTTCTCACCTGTGAGTTTGACCGCATCTTGTGCATGACCTGAAGCAGTGTCTTCGAGTGTTCCGGTGCTGAGAAAAAGCTGTTTTCCAGCGGAGTCGTGGGTGAGCCGGGACTCGGCTGTGTGGCCCACGAGGCGACACTCATTGTTGCAGGTTGTCAGCAACAGCTTCAGCAGTTCTGTGGTCTCCGATGAATGGTTTCTAGAGGAAAAAGGGAAGTTGTGATGTGCGCCTCAAAACGGTTTAAATAGATACCTTTGAGAAAACAGATATGTATGTAAATGCTTTGGAGTTATATAATCCAAATCTACATACACGTATTATTGTAAAAATACTTGTCCTGAAAGATGACCGAATTTTCAAACAACGGGATTTTTCAGCTTCACCTACACATCAATCACTTTAATATCTTGAAGTACTATCATATGGCATATGACCTATATTTAGGCGTCTATTTTTATGCTATGTATAAACATATAAGCTTACAAAATTTAGCGGTATTTTCGCGCGCCAAAAAAGCTAACTACCTCGGTAGGCAGAAACACATCACTGGCCTAGTCACGTGCTCAACGCCTGTTTTCAACATCAAGCTCTAGTGCCTTGCGTAAATGAGGCGAACCGGTCCGGATTGCACAAGGCCCTGGAGTTATATATTGTGGAGTTTATATTATATACTGTGATTCCTACCACAGTATGTGTACTGATCACATATATTTGAATGCATACCGTTTTTGTTTGTGTAGCCTATGAACCCTTGTAATGATATTGTTTCTAGTTCTTGCGCGTGAAACTTTGATATGGTAACAGTAAATACCACACTTAGCTGAGTTTCAACTATTTGAATGTGTACGCATTTCATGCAAGGGATAAACATCGGGTCTATAGAATCCTTCGAGGGCCTGGCATGCCTTCATATATGGACTACTGCCTGGAATGTCAAGAAGACAGATTTCAATAACTGTAAGTATGCTTATCATGGCTGCATATATCATGGCTGCCGTAAATGTAGCCGTCTGTATTTTTGCCTTTAATATTTTTCTTACATACGCGTCAAAATTAAGGCGCAAAATAACATGAGGCAACTTATCACTTAGCTGCATTGCCATTATCACTTGCGCATTATGCATATGGAAGAAGGAAAAGGTTAAATCCGGAACTCGTTATTAATTAGCCTTATTTTGTGCTTATTTTATTGCTTTCATTTTATCGTCAAAGGATTCCCATGTTTTTCTGTACTTATGAAATGCAGTAGCTTAATAACAGCAGCTGAACGATTAACTGCCTTTCTTTTTTCTCTAGGAAATTCATCGCTCCATTGAATTCAGCAAGTCCGTTGAAGATGTGGAAGCTCAGCGACTCGGAGCGTCGGCTGGCTCTGATCGTTCCCAAGCTTATGTCACGCCATCAAATGAATCCTTCAATCAGAATCGCCTGTCCATCCCTGGAGCCGAGGCTCTGGCAAGCAAGCCGGGACTCAACGCATCTCAGCACGTCGGATTTGACGCCGGACAAAATCCCGCCAAAGTCATCGAGCGGGCATCCCAGTTCTTGCTACAGGATGATGTCACTCCAGCCGAAGATCAGCAGGACACTGGTGTGAAGGCGGATGATACACTCATGGTCCTTGCGCATCCGATGATGGACCCGGGGTCGGGAACTTGCAGCTATATTCAATGGGCCTTGAAAAAGGGCCTGGAACACATAGCACTTCGTCTTATAATCGCAGCGATGATCATTGCCGACATAACTCTGATCGTGATAGACCTGATCACACGGGACATGGATCAACACTTTTACTTCATCCAGTGCTCTTTCGTCTTCTCATGGTGTTTTGTACTTGAGCTTTGCTTGAGAGCATTTGCATTTGGGCTCTGCTTCTTTCGGTTCTGGTACAACATACTAGACATTCTCATCATTGTTGCTTCAACTGTGGGTACAACATACATATTGGTAGATAGAGTTCAAGAGGGAGAGTACTTCTTGCTTCAAGACAGACGTTCACCTGGATTTTGGCACTTCATATTTGCGCTGAGATTCTGTAGGCTGGCTCACTTCCTCCGGCTGCATTATGAAGCCGAAAATATCAAGCGTGCTGCAAGGCAGCTGGTTTCACAAAACAAGAGGCGTTACAACATCGATGGATTCGACCTTGACCTGACTTACGTCACCGATCGTGTCATAGCCATGAGCTTCCCTTCCTCAGGTCACATGACCTTGTACCGAAATCCCATTACCGAGGTTGCTCGGTTTTTCGAGACCAAACACGGTGGTCACTACAAAATCTTCAATCTCTGCAAAGAAAGAGGATACGACACACGGATTTTCGACGACCAAGTGGAAAGATTTTACGTTGAAGACCACAACCCGCCCACGTGCAAAGACATGTTAAAGTTTGCTAAATTGTCATCCGAATGGCTGGATCAAGACGACAAGAATGTGATAGCCGTGCACTGCAAGGGTGGCAAAGGCAGAACAGGCACAATGGTCTGCGTTTACTTGGTGGACAACGGACTCTTCTCCACAGCAGAAGACAGCTTAGACTACTTCGGATCCCGTCGGACGGATACCACTCAGGGTAACAACTTCCAGGGCGTTGAAACCCCTAGCCAGTGTCGCTATGTCGGATACTACGAGGCCATCCGCAACCACAAGCACAAGCTTCCCAATGAGGTGGAAATGACGCTCAGAAGTATCCGCATCTGGGGAATGTCAACGGTCGGAAAAGGAGACGGATCTGACCTAACTCTACTCATCGAGTCAGCAGAGGAAGGCAAAATCTATGAGAACCACTTTGGCAAAGGATCTCTGCGCCTCTACGACAAAGACGTAGACGAGCTGTTCGTGACGTTCCAGTCGGTGCCGACCTTCAGAGGCGACATCAGGTTCAAGTTCAAGTGCAGCTCTCGGAAAGTGCCAAAGGGCTACGAGAAAACGGCGTGGTTCTTCTGGTTCCACACTGGCTTCATCAACCACAATCGTCTGAAGCTAGAGAGGTCCGACTTGGACAACCCTCACAAGAACAAGACGTGGGATGTGTTCCGAGAGAACTTCAGTGTGGAGTGCTCCTTCCAAAAGGTGAAGAAGGAGAAGGCTGCTCCCCAAACTCGACATGGCAACTTCAGCAAACGGCTGTCGAGGATGTTCACCATAAAAGTGAACCCAGCGAAGATTACCAAGCGCAAGGATCGAGGAGGAAAGTGGTGAGTCCGTTCACCCGTCAGTGGTATGTGGAGTATCAGGCTATGTGTGTATGAGTGTTGAACGTGTGAAATACAGGACCTTCAATCTGTATTTTGTTCATTTTTATAATCACCGCGAATGAAGATGTTGGCCTATCACGCGTTGTTACCAAGAAAAGCTTAAGCTAAATGTTATTTTCAAATTTATTTGTCGTAACATTTTTCTGATAATCTTTAATTAAATTATCCTATAAAAATCAGTAGGTACACCGTACAACAAAAAAAATTATTTTAAAATTTAACTTAGTCTTTCAGAAATCATAATCTATCTTTCTAAACTTCCCCAGACCATCGCCCTCCCTAGGTAGGTAGGGGTCCGTGAAGTCTCGGCAAAGCGCCATTCCCCGATCGGCTGAGGGACGTGCCGTCCTGGCAAGACCGTGCTCGGCTAATTGAGACCACCACAGGGCCCTCTGGTCAATCGATGCGCGGCTTTACGCCCTCCCCACCCAGCTATCGTAACAATAGCGCCGGTCAAGAGACCACTTACCGCGGGATAACGGCGGAGGGTGGCAGTGCGCTGAAGGGGAGCTCCTGAACGGTCATAACCGGTGAGGGACGACTGCTCTCAATGAGGTGTTAGTTCAGGTATATGGTGTGATTTAGTGCGAGTCTCGAAAAGATCCTTCGCGTCTCGTGTCTTATCAATCTTACGATGTGAGCTACTCGTGTCTCATTCCTATTCTAATGGTCCCTTGTCGACTATTATTGGACCAGGAACGACAGCCCCCATGTGCGTGTGGTACGCGTGCGTTGCGTGTCTGGCACCGTCTGTGGACCGATTACCAGAGAGTCTGTTCGGGACGTATCGACAGCCGTGAATGGTAGCCAATCAAACTGTGATTGGAACACTGCGATTGGCCCGGGGTGGATATTGCGTACGATGAGAAAACGCTAAATAGTAGAGAAGGATCGGTTTCAAATCACAGTTGTCATGAGCGCGCCAAACATCAATATCACGCCTTACATATAACTTGAAGTTTGAACATCGGGCACCAAACCAATCTGTACGAGATAATGACAGCGCGACCACGGATCTCGGCCATCTACGGATCTCTGCTAGTCCGTAACGTCATACAGCACACAAATGAGTAGTTTTTACGGGACGGCAAAAACTCTTGGCGACAGGCACGGGTTGGATTGAGCCACAGAGAGCCGAACAGCCAGCCCTGTCAGTCAGCACATCACTCCCAGTTCGACAGCTGACGGTCGTGTTCCGGGCGGCAGCAGGGCTTCAGTCTGCCCGCCTGGCAGCAGCGGGCCGGCGCACACCTGTGTCCCGCGCCAGCCGACTCAGGCAGGGGTGGTAACCGTCTGCTATCGATCCCCGTCTGGGTCATGTGTGCCGAGCCCCCGACCCGGCGACCCGCCGGCCAGCCCTCCCAGCCGCCGGAGCCGGCGCCATCCGCGCCACAGCTTTGATAGCAGAGTACACAGCACTGGGTGACCCGGTGGGCATCTCATCACGGCGGCTGTTTTAAACTCTCACCGAGTGTCAACATCGAAAGGGCACGGCCGGTGGGCTGGCTGAATGGTAAACAATGCGGTGATTAGAGGACAGTGGATTTGATTGAATACTTACGAGCACTAGCACCAAAGGCAAAATAAAAAATCACAAACTCCTTTAAAACCACCAACCCGTAAGTAAAAGAGCATGTGTGCGCATCCCTCTACATCAAAACTCTACATACCGCTAAATACAACAACATTATTTTATCTCAAATTCAGCACCATCGTTCGTGGCGTTGGTCACCATAGGTAGCACTGTTAACTGGTCAGTTTCGATGACATTTTCCTTAGTTGCGACGTAATTCGTTTCAACTTTCATTGATAGTGGCTGAGATATCGTTCATTGATTCATTTACGACCGATTTCCAATGCTGTTCCCTGAGATTGGTTGCAATACCTGCGGAAAGACCTAGCCCGCGGTGCTAAATGTTTGATTGGGGCCTATCACCACCAATATCGGTGGCAATTTATTATTTACGTGTCTTGTCTGTCAAATTTACGTGGGTCAACATGCTTTTCTGATTTTAACAAAATAGTGATCTAAGGGGAAGTTTAAAATAAAACTCCGCCATTCGATGAAATTTAGCACGATTTATCTAGCTTTCAAAATGCGTATCATTATCTTAGAGCGTAATCAAGCATTTAAGATCAAGTATTAATTTTTTTCATTCCATAATCGAATCCAATCCAAATCTAGAAAAAAGTGTGATGTTGCAGGTACATACAACAAAAGACAGGTACAGAGATAAAATAAGGCATCATTCGTCAAAGCACTTGTATGAAAAGCGCATCTTTTTTCTCGAATATACATAAGACATTGGATTAGAAAATATTTGACTGTACGTCGCCTGAATTCACTAAGCCTGCCAAATACCAACAGGCAACATAACCATTTGTTATGACACCAGCAGGCGCTTACTGTCGGCTGAAGAAACACTTGATGTAGAACGCGGAAGGTAAATATTTGCACAGTCGATCCCCTCAACGTTTTCCTCATATCACGCGTTTTTGTCTGTAGGAGGGTCAACGATGTAGCTTATTTCCGTCGGCTGCACCTTATGTAGTTGTCACCGTAGATTGGTAGAGTTTTATAAATAATTATCTTTTACATAAAAGTGTGCTTGTTTGGGTTTACGGGTCCAAGCTTAAGACAAATGTTAGCGTGAGGTTTCTATCCTGGCAGACCGTAGGATGTAGACTCAAGACTGGCTTACAAATATTAATTTTAGATATTCCCTTTCAGGACACGAAAACACCGCAGAACGACGCAAACTATATTCGTCAATTTATTGTTAAATGCTATTTATTCTATTTATTCTATTTATTCTATTTATTCTATTTATTCTATTTATTCTATTCATTCCATTCTATCTATTATTTTATTCTATTTATTCTAAAAGCTTTTTCGACCGTCTCACATTAGGTACCGGCGTGATCATAAATATAATCCCATTCTATCCCAAACACAACACCAACTGCACCCCCTTCCTCCCCGCCACCTCCCTCCCTTCGACTCACCTCACACCCTTCCCGCGGCAGCTGCACGTCCCGGTTCGTCCGCGGTCACTCCGCTCACCGCCCGACACCGCCCGCACCGCCCACCGCTCTGCTCCGACCGCCCGGCGGCGGCGGCGGCGGCGGTGGTGGCGCACGCGCGTCGGTCGCCGCCGGCTATTGGTCAATAGCGGGCGGCTCACTATTCAAATGGCCTGCAAAAGTGGGTCGCCGACCGTGATGATGGGTCAGTGGATCTGATATAAAGTAAGGTGGCGACGAGATGGGGCGGAGGGGTTGATATTATTTATCCCGTAAGAAAATAATGATAGGCACTGTGGGGCGATCGCTTCGTCAGAACTCATAGGTACTCAACAAAAAGTAAATGCTTCATAACGACGTCAGTGCATGCTTCTATTTCTCTACTAGACATTTGATAAATGAATATCCCCCGTTCTCTGAGACTGAGCTCCCCGTGCCTCCTCGGTAGCTAATGACCATGTTCCTATTCCGTTCTCGACTGTCGTCCTTTCGTCCTCTGACTTATAATAGCCATTTTCACGACGGGCTATCCGGCGAATGCACCTGATTTGACCAAATCTGCAGCTATAATTTCTTTTACAGCAAATATCTTCATTTTATGAATTTATTTCAGTGTTTTAATCGATGATGCTCTCTGATAATATGACAAAGTAGGCATATAAGCAATTAGTGCAACCCTAGCTGATAGCTGCTAAGAGACACACTGAACCTAATTTGACCAAATCTGCACCTAATCTGTACCAGATGTGCACCAAATGTGTAAGTACCAGATGGCCGTCGTGAAAACGGCTAATAGAGAGTAGAGACAATGCGCAGCAAATGGCACACAGGGGATCGTGATAGGATAAAATGGCTTCAAACTATTCGGCAGCAATAGCTGAGATTCACTTAACATAGGAGAAAGATCACATAAGAATATTGCTCAAAGCGAAGTCTTCGCCAACTTGGGAGACACCGAGCGACCAAATTGAGATTATGCAGGCACGGGGCAGCAGCGGACCGAGCGGCGAAGGAAGCCGCGAGGCTGTACCGCAGCGCAGGCGTGTCCGGCGGTACAGTCTACCTTCCGACTCGCCGGCCAGCTCCGTCCAGGAGGCGTCAAAGCCGTTTTCCTCTGGATATCATATTATTCCAGCGAGAAGGACAGGATCAATAGGATCAATAAATTTGTTTTTCTCTCGCATTTCCTCGACCAGCAAAACAACATCTATTTCATGACATTTCTCGCCCATATGGGGAGGGGGGGGGGGGTCGAACACGAACACCCCTCGGTTTTCGCGAAAAACTCGCGTAAAAAGCCGCCGAGCATGACGAAACTTTCAGTACCCCCGACTCCCGAAGTAATCAATTGTACACCTACACTAAGAATGCCATGACCCTGAACTCAATGACCTCTGACCTGTGACTCATTTCTCTCGAGACCATGTTTGGGGCCGGAATCGCGATTCGGCGTATGTCGGCTTGCATTAGCTGCGCGTTTGGCGTTTGCAGTCTTTTCATGGTTTCAAGCCAACCGTTCAAACATGTGACATGATGCTAGTCCCATGCTTTAGGGTGGATGTCAAAGTCACCTGAAGGTCAGGTCAGGTCATGGACCTTTGATGAACTCGGGTCACTTCTTCGAGTTTTACATGTTTGAAGGCTAGGTTTTGGAGCTGAATTCGAATTTAGCAGCCATTTGAACATTTACGAAGTAGTTTTGATGCAAGTTCGACGTTCGTAACATCTTATGAAGCTATCAGGGGCGGATGACACATACTACGAAATACGAATACCTATCCGGCAGGACCCCTACCTACTCATAGGCGCGGGAGCCGGGGGGGGGGGGCAGTGGGGGCAGCTTGCCCCCCAACTCTGGGGCCGTGGGGGCGATGCCCCCACAGCTTTGAGACGGAATACCACACTTTTTTTGCAAGTGTTTTATTTTTTGTTGAAAAAGCCAAGGGATGAAAAATAAGTGGCCTAAAGCCGGTGAGAAAACTAGATTTGAGGGCACCCTAGGTTGATCTCTATTATGGTGTGCCCCCCCCCCAGTCTGAAGGTAGTTTCCGCGCCCCTGCCCCTACTTGTTGATCTGACCTGACCTGACTCGACCTGGCCTAAATGCACGAGGACATCCTCTGTGATGAGAACTAACATGATATTCGTGATCAGCATCCCCCCCCCCCAATAGCCATACTTTACGGCGCTATAAACAGATCTCGATTTTCTCGACTTTTAGGTCATTGACCTCATGACCTGGAAGGTCAACCAATGACCCAGGACCTTAAAATTGGATATCATCGGTTTTGTCTAGTCACGAGCAGCACGCTTGTCTTTTCCGCGAAGCTCTAGCTTGATCAGTGGCCAAACGGCAAAATGCGGGAGCGGGGAGAGGGTTAAAAGTTCGCTTCGGAAGATCCATGTGTTACGGAATCGAATCATAAGACTTTGTTGAATTATACGACACGACCGAAGATTGAAATTTTCAAAGCAACCGCTCAGTCAGCGCAGTCATCGAAAACAGTTTTCTTTCATTATGCTGTCATTGACGTGGCCTGGCTATCGCATCGACTTGGAACTAAAATGTTCACGAGTAACGTGTGCTTGCACCAATAGTTCAGGGGTGGTGTTCCACATTTACTGTATACGTGTGAGCCAGTGATGCATATCTTCAGACTGTCATGTTTCACCTAGGCAATATACCACAAAAGGCCAACGAGCAACCAACCGAAGAATGCCATTCGTCACAGATGATCTGCATCACAGAAGGGTATGTATTGGACGATTGGGGAAAACCACACGAATCATGGTCATCGCATCGAGCCCCCAGAGCTCGGTCAGTTCAAGGGAGGGGTCGGCAAGTCAGGGTGCACACAGGACCAAAATACAAAAACGTCGTCAAGGCACGTGCTCCACATACTCCTGCCCTTGACATCAGACGATACCGAGGCCACAAACAACATGTGACCCGAGCTTGAAGCCTACTTCAAACACTTGTTTTTATAAAACCGATCCCTAGTCTATGATTGCTCCCCCGCCACACAACTCGGCTGATCCTACCCAAACATGGCATAACACCACACACGACACCAAAATGCAAATAACGGTCACAGAGCGGCGCACGGGAATTCACTGCACACACACTGTCCCCTTCCACTCCCTGCAGCAGCCCCTTCTCCTCGAGTGGGGACCATTCATTCACTTTTTCAGTTTCTGAGCGCGCGCCGGTGGCGCCACCTGTGACAGCAGTCCGCCGGTGCGCCAGAGTCCAGCAATCAGCACCAGGTGGCAGCAGTGTAGCGCCGCCGAGCTCAGCGGCGTCGACGGGTAGGTGTTCCAGCACAGCTCGATGACGCCCAGCAGGCAGAGCCGCGTGACGGGCGCGAACGGCGCGCTCCAAAGCAGGTACGGCAGGCTGTGGTAGTACCACACGTAGAACTGGTAGTGCAGCGAGCGCGCAAACGCCATGCCGATCAGATTGGCGGTGAAGAGCGGCAGCAGCAGCAGCTGGCAGCTGATCTCCGGCCCGCCGGTGGCCTGCAGACGGCCGAACGCCGACAGGAAGCGCCGCCAGCGGCCCTGCGCGAACAACGCCAGCACGATCAGGTGCAGCGCTAGCAGCAGCACGTGCAGGCGCCGGTCGAGGAACACCTCCTCGGCCAGACAGCGCCAGTTGACCGTCCATTGGTACTGGAACACCCGGCCCAGATCGAACGCGCCGCGCAGGTAGGCCACCGGCGCGGCGGCGAGGAACGGCGCACCGAGCGCCACCTGTACGCCGCCGCAGATGGTCAGCTGTTTGACAGTGCCCCAGAACCCGAGCGTGTAGAGATAGGCCAGTAGCAGCGCCGGCGCGAACAGCAGCACACTCATCTTGACGGACACACCGAGCGAGAAGAGCAGACTGCCGAGCGACCAGCGTGCGTCCATGAAGCAGTTGATGGACGCGTACAGCAGCAGCATGGCCACCGGATCGTTAAACAGGCGCAGTACGTAGATGGAGTGGACGCGGTACGAGGTCAGGCTCATCACTGCCAGCACGTAGGGCGGCACCTTCTTGCTGCGGACGTACAGCCGGCTGACCAGAGCCCAGTTGGCCAGGTAGATGGCCATGAAGATGTACTGGGCCAGCCGCATGTTGGCGCCGCCCGAGGTGATGTGGTACAATCCGAGAAAGATGTACACAAAGCCGGCCGGGTACACGAGCGGGCCCGTGTCGCCGCCCAGGCGCGAGTAGTCGAGCGTGCCATTGTAGACGCCCTCCACCTCCTGCATATAGGCGCGCCAGTCGATCTCCGTGTATTTCACGCGCTCGATGACAGCCACGTTGATAACGCACTCGGCGAGCAGCAGCAGGGCCGCCATTGGCGCGCAAAGCTCCGGGCTGAACAGACATTGTTGCAGTCGGTCCACAGAGACGGCCTCCCGCAGCCGCCGCCAGCGCGACGGCGCCGCGCGCCGCACAGCCATACCGCCGCCGCAGGGAACCGAGTCACACCCTGCCAGAACACAGAGTGCAGCTGAAGAATGGCAGTTCGAGGAGTGATAAGCTTGGTGGCTTGTTCAATGCTTATTCAGTGTTCAGATTGTTTAAGTAACTGATATAATACAAAAAAATCCAGACAAAATAACGTGACATTTTTTTACTCGGTAGGTATTCTGATGAAGAGCTGTGCTAAAAAAATTTACAAGAAACAAGTGTATTGCTGAACCTTTTTTTATACCAGGATATGGTCATTTAACTTACACCATAGCCGATTCCGACTGATCCTTGACAAGACCAGGAGCTTGATGAAAACGGGTACCACAGCCCACAGGCTCTATGCCTAAAAAATCCTGATACCGTAAAGTAAGGTAAGGAAAGGTATAAACAAATTTTATCACACAAATTCAACTTGAATGTTATAATGATAGCATGGACAGAAGCAGCTCTAGATGCGCAGCCTGGGATCAGCGATCTCAACAGTTTCAAAGGGCAATTCCAGGTTATTTCGGTAGCAAAAGGATAAATGTTTTATAGCTTAGCATAACCTTCAAAATTTGACACAGCCTGTGCTAGTCCAAGTCAACTACTGGACTTCAACTGCCTGTAACTGCTCCCATCACTCATCAGCCCCATACAATTCAAATTCTCATTAGAAGTTGCATATACCCCATGCACCAAGGCGACACAGCTGTGCTCTCAACTTCAAGCATATTCCTCCCTAACCTGTGTGACTTCAGCCGGACAAATGAACAGAGGGCAACCAAAACTTATCGGTTCTCACAAATATAATGAAAATAAAAGTATTTTCATAAAATAATCGAAATAGGTACAGTTTAACCCAGGGCACTAAGGTTTAACCTATCGACCTATTGGCTTGCCGAGCTTGCCCAAAAAGAAATTGTAAACAATTTTTGTCCTTTGTGCGCCATAAGCAGAACATATAGCTGCTGCCAATTTTCGCAAATTCTATTATTTTGGAGTGAATTAGGTTTTATAGGAAGAAATGTGGTGAAGGGAAATTGAAACTCACGATATTTGCTCGGTGAAAATGGTGAAATGCTTTTCAAAATCACAGAAATGTATATCTTTGAGCAAATAAAAAGTGAAAAGTAATAGTGTTGATGAAACTTATGCTTTACAAGAGTGAAACAATGTGATCGCTTCCAAATTGGCAGCCAATTTGGTACCAAAATAGTGGACCAATCATAGCAAAGCTTTTCTGCAAGCACCATGGCAACGTGCCTGCGCCATGTTGGACAAGATCTAGAAGAGGGGGAACGCAACCACCGCGGGGCTAATCGGAACATCTATTTCCATCGCCAGCCAACACCATGGCAGATTCTAATAAGCAGCCTGACCAACAAGAGGCTGTAAAAGAAAAAGAACTAATTGGTAAGCCCCAATTCGCTGTGTATTTGCTTGTAATGCGATTAATTTGTCTGCGCCACTTTCGTATCGCGCCAATCTCAGGCCACGCGGTTTATTTACTCAATTGTTTTAGTTAATTTTTCCTTGTGAGTTGTGACCGGTATTGACTAAATTAACTCACACTGAGTTGATTCTGAATGCTATGCAATAGTATCAAATTTGTAAATAAAGGCAGAAATTGTGTAATCAGCAGTGCATTGAGTGAACCAACGCATGCCTTCATGTTCATTGGCTATTGCTGAGCCACCCATGGATATTGGCTAAAACACTTATTACACAGTTACAACACATGTGCAGTTATCTTTGCAGTTAGCGGTACAATTTTGGGGCAATTTCTTTATCAACTCATAATCCTAGCCTGGGGCAGCATATTGATATAACTCAGCTTCCATAAAATGGGGTTACTTGATTACCATGAGGGGTAACTTTGACAGGCCTGTGTAACTTTGGTTGAAGTAATCAGTAAGACAATGATTAAAGACAAGAAACTAGGCACATATCAGTTGGTGACATACCAGGGAAATAAGCTAAAATTAGAGCGCTCTATTTATTGCTCCTGCCCTATGTTGAAGAGATACCCCTAAAAGCGTGATCTTTTATCGGCCCTTACGCAGCGAGGCAGTAATTCTCAGACCGGTGGATGGTATCAATAGAAAGAGAATGCGTCAAAGATTAACATGAATTAATTAAAATAACATTAAAATGTAAATTAAGCGTGGAAATTAGTCCCAAACATAAGCTAATTATTGCTCCTACCTCGGCGACGGCGCTCCCCGCAGTCGGCGGAGAAGCTAAAATAAAAGCCACCATCCTCCTCCGTAAGTCAATTTTAGAGCGGCCGAGTGGGCCGATGCGGGGCCACCAAACTGAGGTGAGACGTGGCTAGTAATTGCAAACCGCCATAGAAATCAATATCTTAAGACGTACAATATGGGATGATTACTCTGAAGCTGGAGTGAAAGCATGAGTAGATTGCAAGAAACGAAATGCATAGATTGGTTGAATTATGTACAATAGGCACAGCTCAGATGAAGCCATTTCTATGATGTTGACATATGACATAACCCTTCTTCTCCTCACCTATGACCTAAGTGCATTGGCAGTTACCGGCATAGTTTTTTAGCACGAGTGTAATTCGCCATCGGACCGCAATACATGTTGCTAGGCTGCTGCAATTACAACGAACATACGAATACTGCCTTCATTTGTAGACGTTTGTTTTTTAGGCGGTCTTTGACGTGCAAGGGGGCATACCTGTCGACAACTTGAGTTTCTCCGAATTTCAAAAACTCCCAGAATTTCAATTCCTTATGCACTGTTGTAGGTACAGCTATGTTCACAAGTTTTCGTTTCCTCCTGTTCTAAAAAGGATGATATTTGTCGATTTCGTGCGTCGCTGATAGGAGGGTGCGTTTAATAATTAGGCCCAACGCTTTCTGCTTCCGCGAGTACCTTCAAAAGGGAACAACAGTTTCCATTTATTACACTATGGGACATGTGACAAAATGAACCCTGGAACACGCATGAAACGGAGCTCATATTCCTAAAAATGTCTACAATCGCTTCTTTTCTGACACTATTAGCAAATACCATCTCAAGTTAGGTGGTTGACAGACAGTCAATGGAGATCTGGGGAGACTGAGTGACGCCAATTCACCACTTAACTGATAATGAGGGCCGAGGGAAGAGAAACATGCAACATGCACAACTGACAACTTGACAAGTGACAAAACACTACCACTATTGCGCAGTGCACAACAAATTACAGCAGCCAGCCCAAAAAATACTTTTGGTGGCTAATTGCAAAACAAGTCACTAATAAATGTCTTAGTTGCAGCTGAACACTGCACAATAATCACACTGTTCACACATTGAGTGAGATGCCACAGGTGGTTTGAATCACACTTTGGTTCAACTGCAAATCTGAAGTGTTGTCATGAAGTTCATGCCTCCAGGATCACAGCACTTTGGTTGTGGTTGGCATAACACTTGTAGTCTGCAGAGTTCCACATGAACTGCAGACACCTCATCTGGTGGTCTGCATGTTGCTCAACTTCTTCAGGAGGCAAATGTCGACCACCCAGCGGAAGCATGGTCCTGCAGAAAAGAAAGGTAATGCATAAGGTACAAACATTATCTGCTGAAACAGCTCCTTCTGTTGGCTGTTATTAAACTGTTAACATAGGTAACATAACAACATGTATTCCATGTACATTACATTTGTTGAAGTAAAATACTGCCGGCTATTTCAAAACCAGAAAATGAAATTATATTGTGGCATAATTCACATGCCTAGCTATCAGTATCAAATAATAATTAATTTAATATTTGGCATATTCTATACAACACATTCATAGAATATTCTACTTCACGTCACAAGGACTCACAATCTTTCTGTTGGGTGTTTGATTGACGCATTAACTAAGTTTGTCTTAGGTTTTATTATTGCAAAAAATTCATATTGCATTATTGCATCAAAATACTGGCAGCAATAACAAAACAAGAACATGAAATGCCAATGAGCAAGCCGCCTTTCCTTAAAATGGATTACTTTGAAAGGAATTTTAGTTTCTTTTAAGGAAAAGGAGAAATGATTATCAGGCAATTATCAGAAAACCACTCAACCAGCAAGTGGCTGGGTGGTTTCACAGCAAACATTAAGCCAAAACATATACTTACAACTATCTAACAATTGAGCCATTTGACTGCTACAAGGGATATGTGAGCAAAATAAGAATCAAATTATCCGATGTTGACTTCCTTGCAAAGTTTATGCCTTATTTTATGAAAATGTGTCACTAGAATATGATACTTATCATCGAATATTATTTAATTTACGATTTATTTCGGTCGGAATGCACATGGAGTCCCGCGCCATTTTCGTCGACGATGAATATAATCGTGTTTCATGAAGAGATAAGGGGTTTCAATGGTCTTTCAAAGCAATAATTTGATGCAAAAATTTGTAGGAAATAATATGAAGCTGGTTCAAATGGCCATTAACCATTTAAAACACCGAAAATACTCACAACTCCGTCCCGACGACCACGCAGCACCGCGCACGCCACACTACTGGCACAATGCCAAAACTGCTGTCACAGCGGAAATGTTTTTTTTTTCTCGATTGCAATTGTAGAATTATTTATTAAACAGAAGATGATCTTTCCAAAAAACCGACTGATTTTATACACAGATGCATGGAAAATAAAAAAATCCCGGTAAGTTTATTTGTATTGTTTTGTCGATTTTGACATGCTCCTAGTTTGCAGCCATATTTCGATATGTTCTACAGGGAGTTCAGAATTATTTCAGGACCAATCTTTTCCTCATTCATTTTCCCGTCGATCATGAAATTTTTAGAGCGGAACAATTGGTTTCCAGGCGGTCCGAGCGGTTTTCGTGAGAAGGGTGCAAAAATCGGCGTCATTTTTAGAGCCTCGACACCGGCTCAACACAGGACCCTATGGGAGACGGTGAAGTAGCGGGAGCAATAAATAGAGCGCTCTAATTTTAGCTTATTTCCCTGGTGTGTCACCGACTGATATGTACCCCTGGCCCCTGCACTGGAACATGATTTGGTTGGAATTTCAGAAAATATCTTCAACCATTCAAAAGTTCTAACCCAAGAGCTTTGAAATTGGTTTAAAGTAAAGTTTTTAAGCACTTAGGTATCATTCTGTCCAATATATTAGTATTCAAGTCATGTTGATGTTTTATTGTGGGATAGGTTTAGCTGTGACACAGGGGCTCTTAGTATAATGTACTGGGTATTGCCCAGCTTAGCCTTGCAAAATTTACTAATAACTAATAATACTTATAAGTAGGTAGTTAAGAAAAGGAGGCTTTATGCTTTAGGTACCTGCTTCATGTCATTATCCATCTCATGATTGATCTATGATCCATGATTTGGTTGGATAGTTAGTATATCTGAAATTCTGAATCTTTCACCTCATCCTTTGAGCTAAGAGTTATACTTTAAATGGCAGGCTACCATTAAGGTATTTTCTAGGAAAGGCAGGCACTTACTACCTTATATTTTTTGTCTTTCTTCTGGAAATTTGTCATTTATGTAGGTGTTATGTAAAAATGTTTAACTGAAGTGCCTTGATATTACAGTTATCATTATTTTTTTTGGCATAATTACAACACTTTTTTTAGATGAGGCATGCATTTGAATTCTCAGCAAGACATTTTTAGAAAGGCATGGAGTATATTCCTAGCTCACAGGTTAAACCCACAGTGGATAATAAAGTTTTTGAAGAGAAACTCCTGCTTTAACTGCATGTTTTTCTGCTTTAACTGTATGTTTGTGAGGCACTGTTATTGCCTCAGAAAATTCTGTCATGCCTTTGAAAAGCTTGCTCATTTTGTGTGTTGTGACTACACTTATCAGCAATCACAATATTCACACTGTAATCCAGAAACCAAACTGGCCATAGGCCATCAGGCTTTAGTGGTGAAAGCTGTGGTATCATTCTTTCTGGCACTAGGATATGTGACTTTAGCCTTCCATAGTCAGGCCATGCTTTGCTGTGTGATCATTTTATTGTAATTTTCATTTTCTTTCATGTTGACTACCAGAAGTATCAAACCATTTTTTTTGTGTGGTATAGATCCTGTACAACAAGCTCTGTTTGTAGCCAACTCTGGCCCCCTCTTTGTAAGTCTGCTCTTTTGAAGCATTTGGATATATTAAATGAAAGTACGCCCTCACTTTTTCCATTTGCCAGCATTGCCCTGAACTCTGAAGCATGTTCTCAGCCGCACTTCACATTGAGAAGTAAATATACTGAGAGATAAGGAACATAAGATAAGAAATGCTTGACCTCACGGTGGAGGGTCACTTTTGCTTGGACCCTTGAACTGTGCGCCGACCACACTCACTAAGCCGAATGGTCGGCACTGACTTTTTTTAAAACTTCATTTTGAAAACGACATTAATTTCCTAAGTCGAGGTTATTTCC